CAGAGCTGGAAGAGATCCACAAAGGCCATGTAGTCCAACCATCTTTTGCCAATGAAGGAAAGTGCCTGGATTCCATATGGAGCAGCCAGGACAGTGATCTTGGGCACGTTGCACTCTCTCAGCCTCAGAGGAAGGCTGTGGCAAACTTCCTCTGAACAAATAATCCAAGAAAGCCCTTTGATAGGTTTGCCTTAGAGCCGCCATGAGTCGGAAACAACTTGAAGGCACACATGAAGAAGAAGTAGTACTATTACTCTGCGAACCAGGGTTCAATTCCTAACTTGGTCGTGAAACCCACTGGGTGACCTTGGGCAAGTCACATGCTCACAGCCTCAGGGGAAGGCAAGGGCCACTTTGGGTCCCAATCTTGGGAGAAAAGTGGGATCATCATCATCATCATCATCCTCTGAACAACTCTTGCCAAGAAAACCCCATTATAGGTTCACCTTAGGGTTACTGAAAGGATTTGAAGACACATAACAACAAATTAGTATTATTTAAAAAACCTATTTATTAACAAATTACTCCTTTTAGAATGCAAAGAAACATTCTGCAGATGCCCTGAGGAAATGTTTTCCTTTAAATGCAAAGAAACATTCTGCAGATGCCTCAAGGAAATGCTGCACAGGGTGAGGAGGAAGCCCTCTGCATGTGCCCAGAAACACTCTCTTCCTAATGAGACTTTTATATGAAGGACTGGGCCCTGTCTTTAGCATAGTCCTGCTGGAAAGGTCTGGTTTCTGGTTTCGGATGGTCAGTGCAGAGTGAATCCATGGGGTGTGGGTGAGGGGCAGAGAGCAAGTCACATCCTGCCACATGCATCCATTGGTCATCCGCCAGGAATCTGCCTTCCAGACCCGAAATGCAACATCACCCACACGTGGGAGCTGGCTGGGAAAATTGTTCAGAGGATGCTTTGTTAGAAGGATGCAAATGCTGTTGAGCTGGGTGCTAAACAATGTGTATAGCAATGTGCCTAGAAGAGAAAAGGAACGGAGTCCCTTCCTGCAACTTCTTGAAAGAAAGGGAACAGATTTCGCAGAACAATTTTAAGTTAAAACCATACGCAATGCCTGGACAGCTTTGCAATAGCTTTTCGTTATTGAATGGATTCCTGGATCGATACCCTTTTCTAGGAAATGTCATTCTCCCAAGACTGATATAGCATATCTGATACAGACTGATATCTCTGATATAGACTGATATAGCATATCGTGATTTCAGTAAGGCCTTTGACAAGGTCCCCCAAGATATTCTTGCAAACAAGATAGTAAAATGTGGGCTAGACAATAAAACTGTTAGGTGGATTAGTAACTGACCAAACCCAAAAGGTGCTCAGCAATGGCTCCTCTTCTTTATTCCTCCTGGAAAGAAGTGACCAGTGGGGTGTCCAGTGGGCTTCTGTCCTGGGACCAGTTTGCTATTCAATATCTTTGTCAATGATTTGGATGAAGGAACAGAGATGACACCAAATTAGGAGGAATAGCTAATACCCAAAGAACCATCCCAAAAATCAGACAATTTTATAAAAAATAATTGGAGAGATACAGGAGACAGGGATTGCCAGTTTGGTGTTGGGGACCAAAAAAGGGGGATCCAGGTGCCATATCTGGTCCATGGGCTACATTTCCCCTCCCTTTTTCCTAGGCTTTGCTGTTGTTGTCGCTGCTGTGTGCCTTCAAGTCGTTTCCAAGTTAGGGCAAACCTATCATGGGTTTTTCTTGGCACGTTTTGTTCAGGGGTTTGTTTGTTTGTTTGTTTGCCAAGGCCATCCTCTGAGGCTGAGAGAGTGTGACTTGCCCAAGATCATCCAGCAGGTTTAAATTGCTGAGCAGGGATTCGAACCCTGGTCTCCTAGAGTCCTACTAGTCCAATACTCAAACCACTATGCCACGCTGGCTCTTATGTATTTTATAGACTAAACACATTGAAGAATGGGACACATTTTCATGCTAAGAAAAGTGGCGCAGAATCCGTAATTGATGATATTCGTGATTTTGATATTTATTTTAAAAGGTGCAGGCCATGCCAGCTCACCTCAGCCAAACTGACCCAAAGGACTGCTGTTGCATCAAACTGAGGCCCAGCTCTCTGTTTGGAAATGTAAAGCCAAAACTTAAAAGGGACCAAACATTATTGCAAAATTATACTTGTTGCTGTTGCTGTGTGCCTTCAGGTTGTTTTCGACTTACGGCAACCCTAAGGCAAGACCATCAAAGGGCTTTCTTGGCAACATTTGTTCAGAGGGTTTATCTTTGCCTCCCCCTGAGGCTGAGAGAGTGTGACTTGTCTAAGGTCACCCAGTGGGATACCCTGGCCAAGCAGGGAATCAGACCCTGGTCTCCAGAGCTTTAGTCCGATGCTCAAACCACTACACAATGCTGGCTTTATATTACTTTTCCAAAACTAGGCATGGGGAAAAAGCCTAGGTATTGGGGTCTGTTTTGATCCTGATTTCGGAAGCTAAGCAGGGTCAGACTTGGTTAGGGCTTGGATGGGAGACCACCAACAAATACCAGGTTCTGTAGGCTATATTGCAGAGAAAGGAACTGGCAAAATCACCCCACAAATTTTCTTGCCTAAGAAAACCCTGTGAAATGAATGGGGGTTGCCATATGTCCACAGGCGATTTGAAGGCACATACTGTATACACAAAAAAGATAGGATAGCAGTCTTTCTGGGGTGTTTCAATTGTGTATTCCTGCATGACAGGGCATTTAATTGACGACGCAGTAGTTTGAACATTGGAGTGGAACTCTGGGAGAACCAGGGTTCAAATCCCTGCATGGCCACCGAAACGCACTAACTGACCCTGGACAAGTCACAGTCTCTCAGCTTCTGTGGATGGTAAAGGCAAACCCCCTCTGAACAAATCTTGCCAAGAAAACCCTGTGATAGGTTTGCCTTTGTTGTTGTTGTGTGCCTTCAAGTCCTTTCCGACTTAAGGCGATGCTATCATGGAATTTTCTTGCAAGATTTGTTCAGAGAGGGAGTTTGTCATTGCCATCTCCTGAGGCTGAGAGAGTGTGACTTGCTCAAAGTCACCCAGTGGGTTTTCATGCTCCAGCATGGCGTTAAATTAATTAAAATTGCCAGAGTTGTTGTCCAGCGTTCAAACCATGCTGGCTCCCTTAGGTTCGCCTTAGAGGTGCCATCAGTGTGTGGCATAGTGGTTTGAGCGTTGGACTATGACTCTGGAGACCAGGGTTTGATTCCCCGCTGGGTGACCTTGGGCAAGTCACACTTTCTCAGCCTCAGACGATGGGCATGGCGAACCCCTCTGAAGAAACTTGCCAAGAAAACCCTACGATAGTTCCCCCCTTAGGGTCGCCAGGAGTCAAAAATGACTTGGAGGCACACAACCACAACCAGTCAGAAAGAACCTGAAAGGCAGATAGCCAAGGTCTCACTTGCGCCAGAGAACACTCTCGGGAGGAAGGGAAGAGAAAGAAACTCTCGAACTCTCCACCACCACCACCACCACCACCACCTGCCTGGCCCCTTCCTTCCCCATCCTCTCGGCCGTTCCTTTCTGGCTCTGTGACAAGGAGACCAGTTTTCCCACAGTCTCACACCTGAGCTCCCTTGGCTCGCACACCTGCCGCCGGCCGGGCGATGCCTATCAGCCTGCCAGCCGGATGGAGATGAGAGGGCCTTCGTGGCATGGGAGGCAATGTCCTTGGCGTGATGAACCCAGCTGCAGTGGGAACCGTCTCTCGGGTCAGGGGGGGAAGCAGCCAACAACACACCTTGCAATGGCCAAATTTAGCCCCCGGACTGGGGCATCCCAAGGAAAGGAAGGAAACCAGGCGGACCTGGTGCAGCTGGCGGGAGAGATTTAATTGCACCCTTGTGCAAAGGGAGCATCTTTTGAAGCCGGCGGCCTTATCATCGCTGAGGCTGTGAACAGAGAAACAGGGGGAGCGCTCAGTTACAAAGCAGACAACATTGCTAGGCATGCCGGATTTCAAAATTAATCCATTCACGCTAATGGCTAGAAACTGGAGAGTTGGTTTGTTATCAAATCCACCTTCCTTCTCTTGAGTCGGTGGGCGAATTTAAAAGCTGAGAGAGGTGAGGTGCAATTCGTGGCAACTTTGCTCATGGATTTATTATCCGTTTCACAGACTGCACAATTATAGCCCTATGATTCCGCTTTAACTGCCCTGGGATCTGCAGGATGTATATATGTTGTGTGCCTTCGTTCAAGAGGGTTATTGACAAATTGGAGCGTGTCCAGAGAAGGGGGACCAAAACGGTGAAAGGTCTGGAAACCAAGTTTATGAAAAACAATTGAAGGTGCTAGGTATGTTTAGTCTGGAGAAGAGAAGAGTGCGAGGTGAGATCATGAGAGCCATCTTTAAATATCTGAAAGGATGTCATGTAGAGGATAGAGCAAGCTTGTTTTCTGCTCCCCCCAAAGACTAGAACTCAGACCAATGGATTCAAACTACAGGAAAAGAGATTCAACCTAAAGATTAGGAAGGTTTAAAATTGAAAGTGTGAATGGGCCCTAGGAGCATGGTAGAGTCTCCTTCCTTGAAGGATTTTAAACAGAGGTTGGATGGTCATCTGTCCCAGGGAGGGCTCTTAGACGGTGTCTTCCCGCATGGCAGAAGAGGGTTGGATTGGATGGCCCTTGGGGGTCTCTTCTAGAATTCTATGACAGTGCTGAGCTACGTAATTTTAAAGCAGACCATGAAGAGATTGGAAAAAGTTCAAGATTTTCCATACTTGATCTCCATCTATCAGAGTGGAGACTGCAGTCAAGAAACCAGAAGAAGACTAGAACATGCATGGACAACTATGAAAGAATTAGACAAGATTCTGAAGGGTGGATGTATCATTAAAATACAAAATTAGGATTGTCCAAGCCATCGTATTTCCCATTTCTATATATATGGTTGCGAAAGTTGGACAGTGATGAAAGCTGATAGGCAGAAGATCAACTCATTTGTGATATGAAGCTGGAGAAGAGTTCTGAGAATATCATGGACTGCTAAAAAGACTAATAAATGGGTCCTACAGCAGATCAGGCCCAAACTCTACATGGTCACAAAGATGTCTAGACTGAGGTTATTATATTTTGGGTATATCATGAGAAGAAAGGACTCACTAGAAAATACTATAATGCTTGGTAAAGTGGAGGTCAACAGGAAAAGTGGAAGACTGTATACCAGATGGATGGATTCAGAGATGCTACAGCCAGGAGTCTGCAGGAATTGAGCAGGGCGGTTAAGGACAAGTAACATGTAGGTCTCTCAAAGGTAATTAACAACCACAAATGATATGGTGATACGATAGCTCTGTTTAAATATTTGAAGGGGTATCATATTGAGGATGGAGCAAACTTGTTTTCTGCTGCTCCAGAGACTAAAACACAGACCAATGGATGCAGGAAAAGAGATTCTACTTCAACATTAGGAAGAACTTCCTGACAGTAAGAACTTGATGGCCATCTGTCACAAGGAGAGCTTTTATTGTGTCTTCCTGCATGGCAGAATGGGGCTGGACTGGATGACCCTTGGGGTCCCTTCCAATTCTAGGATTCTATCATGACATGGATGAATAAAAAAAGTGAATTGTGCAGGGAGACAATAGGTAGACTTGGAGGTCTTTAAGCAGAGGCTGGATGGCCAATTGTCGGGGATGCTTTAATTGGGAGTTCCTGCATGGCAGGGGGTTGGACTGGATGGCCCTTGGGGTCTCTTCCAACTCTATAATTCTATGATTCTATGATTCTATGACTCCTGTAACAGGCTGACTCCTGAAAAAGGCAGGTATTTCAAGTTGTCCCATGAACTGTGTGTCATTTGGTGACATTTACACTTAGCCCTCCAAGTCCATGGATTCCTTATTCACAGATTCAACCATCTACTACGGTTTGAAAATATTAAAGATATATACCATATATACTCAACTATAAATCGACCTCACGTATAAGTCAAAGGAAAGTTTGGGGGCCAAAATTATGCATTTTGATATGACCCATGGATGAGTCGAGGGTAAAACTTAGGGGCATGCAACAAAGATCTAAAGAAAGGAGCAAAGGAAAATGATGCCAAAGAACTTAGCAAAATTCCAGCAGACATCACTGTTTGTGCTCATACTAAAAGCTGGATGGATGAGAGACTAGAGGGAGGTCAGTGCTTCCAGGGCAGATTACACTTTGCCTTTCACCAAGGGGTGGTTCCCTATTTTATAAGAGTTAAAGCACCAGGCTTAAATTGACTCGTGGATAGGTCGACCCAGTTTTTTGGGGGGTCAATGTTTTGACTAAAACTTTTAGACTTATACATGAGTATATACCGCATAGATATACATTCCAGAAAGCAAACCTTGGTTTTGCCCTTTTATATAATGGGGAGTGTTTTACGATGCCATTGTATTGAACGGGACTTGAGCATCCATAGAGTTTGGGGTCCACAGGGGGTCCTGGCCCCAAACCTCAGCCGATATCAAGAGCCCACTGTACTTTTCGCAGCACCCTCGGGGGCATGTGCTTGAGATGGCTGGGCACCAGCACTGCCTCTAAATGGACCTGTGGCTGGCAGAGGGGCAGAGAGGCTCGGGGGGGGGACCCCTGCCGCATCCCTGGCTGGAGGATCGTGAGGTCCAGCTTTCCCTGGGCTGCCACTCTCCGGCAGACAGAAAGGTTCCCAGGGTGGGCGCTGGCCATAGGTTGCCTTCTCCCTTCAGCCTCGAAGCCCCCCTTCCAGGAGTGGGTCTGCTGGACAGTCCTGTTCCCACACGGCTCTCAATGGGGCTAATTAGCCCCCATCTGCTGCCTTCTCCCCACCACCAGTGGCATGTGAGGCTCTATTGAGAGCCAGAGGCTTTGTGCGCTGGAATGCCTTTCTCTTGGCAGGCCGTGCAGCCGGTGCGCAGAACAATTTGAGG